CGCATTAGCCGAGCGCACCCGCCGCCCCTCCGCGCATTAGCAGAGCGTTCCCGCCGCCCCTCCACGCATTAGCCGAGCGCACCCGCCGCCCCTCCGCGCATTAGCCCCCAGCAACGGCAGTCTCCATCTGGAGCGGTGGTTGATCAGTTGCAGACGGCCGCGAGTGGATGGAAGTGCGCCTCCGGGGATGCATTTGCCAGCATCGAAAAAGCTTCAACGCACGTCACAACCTAACTTGAGCAACTCAACATGTCCGTACTGCGCTGCACATGTGCAGAGCAAAGCCCGGAAAACTAACTAATGGCTTCTATTTGTCGAATTTATCCGACAGATATCCCAACTGAGCACGTAATAAGGTTGAAATTCCATCTGCTAAGCTGGGCGGTATCATCGCCAGTTGGTGGGAACCTGTACACACATCAGTCGCCGTGTAAGAAGTGATCCGACGCAGCATTTCTCGTCGTCGTCTGACGGCAGCCATTCATCACCCGCGTATTAGCCGGCCACCAAGTCGTTCGTCATCGGCGAACGGACATGACGCACCATCTGCTGCGCGTGTGCGGCAGGTACAGGCCGGCGCCGGTCTGCTATCACGGACGGCGTCGGCACCACCTGCCGCCGGCGGCCGGAGCCGACACCGTCCGCCTGGGTCATGGGAGAGCAGTCGCACCGCTCTCGCGGCGTGCCTTCACGGTAGGGCAAGGCCGCCGCGCGGGTCAAGTCACCGGCTGTCTGTTTGAGCTGGGATTACACGCGCTCCGTGGACACTTGGCGTGCTTGCTCACGAGACTCCGGGTAGCGTAGGCGTCGGATGACAGACACAATGCCCGTTGTGGCTGCTCATTGGCCCAGAAGGCGTCAGCGTAGCCCACGGTGGACACAACGTTAAATTTCGAAGCTGATCTGCTTTGTTGGATTTTTTGCGAGCTTCAGCGTTTGGAAACATGTAATATCACCCGTCGCTTCTGTTGAATTGGGTGTAGTTTAGGCAGTTTGGCAACAAACTACTCATGTAACGTCATGAATGCCCAAGCAGGAATGCATCACATCAAGTTTTCGATAATGAGCTGGAATGGCCAAATGAGACAGCGTAGTCTCAGGACTCAGGAGGATGACCAGCAGATGCCAAGTTATCATGATGTCCCCTGCAGACTGCGGCAGACCTCGATGTCCAACGAGCCGGCTATGGTGCATGACAAGCGACGGAAAGCAGCGCAGACGCACCGGGCCCAGCCCGAGAGAGGGCATGGGTGCCGACTCGGACCGTCACCGCCGGCCGGACAACCGTCCGTCGCGTGCCGTCGGGTAATCGACACATGACGCAACCGTCGGCTGCGGGGCGTTGGCCGCGGACGTAAACCGCAGAGTGAAAGTGGGGCGAGTATTCCTGACGACCCATCCGTCTTAATTTGCCGGCGATGTCCACGGTTTGCCGATTACTGGAGGAACGTAGACAACCCGCACCCGCTGTCCGAAATCGAACCGCATCATGTCGCTAAGTAGGTTGGTAATGACGATAATTGCTACAGTCAACATTATAATATCCGTCCTTGCTCAGAACCCATGAAATGCAATAGACGGCCACGACGCGCTGTTTTGCTTGGGGTTAAACGGGTTTCAATCACGCATGCTGAAAAACACAGCCGGAAGTTCCCTAGTTAATCTGTTATGACTCCGTAACACGTAAAGATGTTCACTGCGAACGTGGCACCAAATCGTCTGGCAGATTCCCGAGAGATTTTCTGCTGGCGAACGTGTGGGGCGAAACCGCATCTCTTCTGCAAACAAGCCATGTTACCAAAGTCTCAGGTAATCTTCTTCAGCACCAATTTCGTCTCCCACCTCAATTAAACGGGCTCTCAAATAAGTCCAGCTCGCAGTGGATCCTGCAGCTATCTGCAGAGCGACTGTTTTCGACCTCGACCGTGTTTCCACGCTCGCTATTTTAAACGGGAGCTGCCTCGAAGCATTAAGCGCTGGATAGTATCTTTATGACCTCCTCGAGGTCACCGGATGTGGAGAATCATCAGACTTAATGATTCGCTCATGCCTTTGCTCTCCAAAAGCACCTGGGTTTAGTTCAGCTCTCCCGTGCTCTCCGCTGATACAGCTTGAGCGATCTTGCGGCATTGGCGTGTATCTCAGAGCGCATGGGGAAGACCGCTGGCTGGCTATAAGCTCAACAGCATGCACCGGCGACACGGCATCGCACGCCCATGCCTATCGAGTTGGCTCTTTGAACCCACTGGAAAGAACTGACAGTTGTGACCAGAACGACGGGTGTTGGCTTTGAGAGTATACGTTGATGTCAGTGAATGGTTCCACGTATCTGAGTGCTCAGCCTCGGTTTTGTGTCACGTGATGTTTGATGAGCCCTGACATTACTAACTCGTGGCTTGCTTGTTATCAGCAAAACCCATATTGTCAATGATGTCGTCAGTATATCTCGTATTACTTTGTCCGACGCTTGCGTATTGGCAATCGTATATAAATGCAAGTCCGACGCTTGCGTATTGGCAAATCGTATATAAATGCAGCACATCTCAGACCCGTAGATGAGACATTAGTGATAGCTCGGCGAAAACCAGGAGATTGAAGATATAGAGGGGTTGATATTGCGACAACATGCCGCTATCGAAACAATATCAGAAGTGAATTTAAACCAATTGATTTCATGAGTTTGGAATTTACTTCTTGGTCGTCTGATCGAAGCAATAGCAGAATTGAATTCAGACCCCATTGGTAATATGGTGGACGTGCCATCATACGTATCATTACACAGGCGTCCGCCGCACTGCACCAATGTTGCACTCGTGAGTTATACATTACTAGCGAAAGTACATCGGAGTATGTTCCTACTATTTGAGTTTCCGTCGGCATCTTCCCCTTTAAACGATACAATGCAGGCTGGCAGACCCACCACATTGTATCCTACGCTGATTGGCTAGTTTACAGTGAAGGAGCATGTCCTATCAACCAGTCTTTCATCTTCTGCTGAGTGTCGTGGCGGGGGGGGGGGGGGGACCAGGTCTTGGATCAATGGTTGATCAGACTCGCTAGAATACATAATTTCTGCTCAAGCGACCTCTGTATGGGGCACCTGAAATCGGCTGACAACCGGTAATCATCTGATCTTCTTTTAGCAACGGTAAAACAACTCTATTCATTCCCTGCATGCATATGTTGGTTCCATAACCTCACTTGAGCATCGTGGGCGAGTTCAGTATTGTCCCAATAGTTCTTGTGCTTGTTGCCCGGCACAGGCTGAAAGCCACCGATGAACACCATCACCGGCCACCCAGCTCAGGTTAACTGACCAAAAACCCGTGGATGGGGTTTACAAGCACTCACCGTGTCGACATGCCCTCAGCAATGGGCAAACAGTCCTTCAAGTGTGATTCGCCCCGCCACGAAAGAACAACAAAAGCGCATCACGACAATTTTACGAGCGTAGAAGCTTTAGAGCACGCTTTTAATGCAGTCGGTACCGCTCTGCCGCGGGAGGGACTACACAGCCGGCTAAATATGTCGACAACCCGATGCTCCAAGCTTATGACACTGAGCAGCATGAAACTCTCCCCAATAAATGCGTCATGGTCAATATTCTATGGTCAGGTAACGTCACCAAAAGCACAAACAATGGACAGATAGGGTTGCAGACACCCACATGCTCCGAGAAAATCAGACCCATCAGCATGAAACCTTCACCAGTCGGTGTCATCGTCGATATCCAGATATTTTTCCGGCTTTGATATTTTTGGTGAGTTTTGACCTGAACCAGGGTCACCGTGTTCTGTAAAGCATAGGAGATTGACTATGACGTATCGATTGGTAAAGGCTTCATGCTTATCAGTCCCATAAGCTCGGAGCATGGTGTTGACTGCAGCCGAGTTTGGTTGTCTTGGGCGTTTTCAGTAACTTTTGACCTTTGTGAAATGCTTCAAAGATTAACCCCGCGACCGAATATCACGTGGGCTGTGTTGACCTTCGGGGCACTAGCAATGCCATTTATGAAGAAAGAAAAAGGAAAAATAACTGTTTCTTTAAAATATTAAAACGAAAACACGCCTGTTATTGGCAACAACCATTCCTACGTTTTCTTTAAAGTTAGGCATGCGCGATAAATTTTGTCCTCATTTGATAGAAGAGCGGATCGTAACATATTTAATTGCTACCCATAGCGTGTGGCTATGTCACATAAAGTGTCAGCGAGTGTCACTGTCGCTCTACGTAATAGTGCTAAATGTCAAGAAAATATTGCATCAAATAATACCCGAGCTGTCACATGGATTGTTTTGATCCGATACGAGCGCGTATCAAACGGGTTGTGTCCTAAGACACGTTGGTATTATGTACGTAGTACTGTGTGTAACCGTATCTGTTTCTTCCGAAGGAAATCAAACAGTTGAAAAATATTTTAAGGCGTCTAACCGCAACTTTTCTGTGTCCTTTCAGTCCCATCAGTGCTTACGAAATGGGGCCAAGGTGACATAGTCAGCGATGCTTCCACTCACTACCGATGGATTCGAAAACAATCTGGTCTCCTTTTAGACGATTTAGACTTAAAGCTGGCAGCGAACTATGACGAACGTTACATTTCCGAAGTCACTCATGGAACATCGAGTGAAAAGCTGTGGCGCAAAAATCTGGCGATGAAGACCAACGATTCCTTTACACTGGACGACTATAAGCGCAAATGATTTGCACTTGGTTGCCATAATAACCAAACCAGCCCGGTGTCTACTCATCCGGAATTCAAGATCTGCGCACTATCAGCTGTTCAACGTTTGGTACCCAATTTTCCCACATTAAACAAGCGGAGTTCACTGCTCTTATCTTGTCTAAACACTGGATGAAAGGTGTGCCTTTCGTGATCGTAGATCCCAGCACGTGTTCTCCAGCTGAAATGATGGCATGAGTTTTCGCTTGGTCATGAAAAGGGCAAAGCCAGAAAAGCTCGTGAATTCAAGTTGGTGCACTTGGTGTGGAAGATACGGGTCTGCTTGTTGTGACGGCAGCAGGCGCATGGGACCGGTAGCAATCAGAAGCATCCCCTGCCGCGCTCAACAGAGCAGGAGCTTCCACATGATTCCATAACAGTGTGGCCTGGTACAATAGCCTCATTGGTCAGCTTTTGACCATGTGTGACCTTCATAGAGACGTTTAAGGTCAGAAGAAGTCAAAAATATTTAGTAAGTAATATGTATGTAAGCATGTTCAGTACACCAGTGCAATCACTTGATGTCTTCGGCTACGGTACAGTGAAAGAACGTTTTTATCAAATTTGCGGCTTTGTATAGCAGAAGGTCACTGGTCTGATGATCACACTAAAACAAAAATCGAACGCGTTGTGGCAATTTTAAGTTAAGGTCAGACATATGCCCTGTGTAAGCCTAAGGTAAAAAATGTGATGTGTATATTCTCCATGCTTTGACGAGACTTTTACAACGTTATCTTTGTTTTTCTCACACGGCGTGTGAAAGTTTGAGGTCCCAGAGGGGAGGGGGTTAAATTTCCCCCGGCCCGGTGCAGTCGTCTCAGACCCCCGGCCGGGCGTAGGTTAAAGGTAACGAAGTCAAGCGGTCAGATAATAAACTCAGAATTTCTTATTGCTTTCTGGTTCTGGAGATAATTGGGTTTTCTGACACTGACGCTTCGGTATTTCCTTTTTCAACAGTTTTGTAATTATATGCATTCGCTGACCCTAAAGGAGGCATGGCCTTTAACGTTTCGTGACCAGACTTACATCAAGCTTTCAAAAAAATATGTAGATCACCCAATACACTAAGCTTCAAGTAATTTTGAGACATGAGGGTGTTGTCCAACACCCCATTTGTCTGTGTGCTACACCCGACAGATTCAGCAGCCTACACCGCCTAGTTGGTTTCACGTCTTAAGCTGCCGCTACGGCTGAGATTTCAGATTACTCTTTGCAGCGCCCTACAACGGCCGGATTCATCATTTACAGACGAGGGCGTATGACAGCGTCCACTCACTACACGCATTAACCTAGACAGCTGTCAAAACCATTGTCCGCCTTCTCCCGCGAAAACGAAATTAAACGCACCCTACTAAGCCATGCCAGCTCCCGAATATTTCAGGTGCAACCATTTTTTTAAGAGAGTGGAACGAATGCTTTGGGCTAAGCGTTATGCCACCATGCTGTGTATCTAAATGCAGCTAAACACCTGGATTTATATCATGCTTTCAGATTAGTATGTTCCCAGGAGTTCGCCTTATTGCTGATTGAGATACGGTGAATGCACGACGCAACTCTAAAAGACGCGTTAAAATCGCTCAAAAATATCGAGCATCTGGTGCAGGTTAACTTTTCCAAAAGACAAACCCTACCTGAACATATTCATATTCAGGGAGGCTATCGCCGTCATTACGGAAAACGTGCTACTCAGGGGCTCTTCGAGTGCATGAAAACATCGGCAGCGCGTGATTTATCTCGTGTGGGGTATTACATCACATCAAAGATGACGAAAAGAGAAATTGGCAAGAATTTCAGTTCTTTAAAATACTAGTGATCTAAACTTCCTATGATGTAAGGTGACGAAATGTGTAACGGTAACATATTGTATCCTAAGCATTTGCAAACACCCTTTCCGTTTGCATCAAAGATCCAGTCTAGTGCTATTCATAGTTTTGCTTACCATGGCAATCATTAGATATTCCATTCACGGGATGATCTCCAAAGTGCAGAGCTTACCACTTACAGCTCACTCAGGGTATACGACAATCTAAAGGTGCATGGACAGGGTGCCCTTGCTGTTCGTATACGATTTCTCTGAAATAATATCACTATTTTTGTGTTTATCAGTGTAGTTTGCTTGCACCTTTGGTGGAGCTGATATAAATCCCCGTAGTTGGATGTATTCTTGCTTTTTAAAATGAAATCACCTAATTTGCAGAGCACAAAATAATGCTAGAGATGGTTTGTATTACGGACGCACATTAGTAACTACCTTACATTGCATTTCTAACGTCCGCATTTGAACAGTGTTGTTCATCATTGCAAGCAGATGGCATCACACACTCATGCAAGAGCGTATTGCAGCTTACAACAGTTGCTACATTGCTATCGCAAATCCGCGCGGATTATAGTTGGAGCATTCCCTCTTCGGAAGCAAAGCGTAGCTAGGCCCTTACTCAGTCTCATCCTGACCCTGTTGAACGGAGATAACTTTGATAGAAGCACCTTCAGCAACGTTGTGATCTGCCAAACACAAGCACACTGAACCGAAATACACAACAACTATAGCTTGCTTGTCCAGAAGTGGCATTCAATGCGCCGCAACATATGTGACGTGCGAGTTTACAAATGTTATCACACAGACACGGTGGATGCCTTTCTCTTGGCCACTTCAAGCAGGTACTTTTATCACCACAGGTGCCTCACACCAAATCTATTAAAACTAAGCGTCCAAATGCGTAAATATCTAGTTGCCCTCTAAACGGATGCGCAGACACTCCATGAACAGTTCGTCACGTAACGCCATCTATATCAACAACAGCAGTGCAGCGGCAATAGTTCCAACATAGGCCGCAGTCGTTCGGGAGGCGCCACCACCAGCACCGATCGTCACCTGGAATGATTCGAGCTTGTAAGTCCCGCGCACAATCGTGTTTCCTCCGGGTGGACTCAGAATAAAACCTGGGAGCAACTAAATTCAAGCGAGATCGGGTGGCATTAATTGCTTGGTGCTTCTCTAGGGGGTTTGACTTAGAATTGAGCGACCAATCATCAGTTGGCTCAAGCAGAAATGCAATATGATTATGATATGTACAGCCAAAGATCTGAACGCACGAGCCACGAAAAACGGAAACGCAGCCATGCATTTAGCCAATTTGCTTGCTATTTTAAAAACGACTTGTCACGCATGGTTTTGTGCGGCCATTACATCGGGTTCCCTGTCAAACTGAGGTCGACGGAGTAAAATTTATCTGAAACGATTTCGGTCTTTACCCAGATAGATCTCCTCGAGTCAGAATCGGAGTCAAGCCAAAGTTGTGTTATGTTGCTCGTAATCAGTGTCGAATTAAACAATATTCACGGTAATTTGTAGTAGGAAATTGTTCTGCTCAAGCGGAACTAAAGCATTTCTGGTTGCTAATACTGTGTACGTGATGGTGACAGTTAAAACAGCTATGCAACAAAGTGCGCGCGCGCGCGCGCCCACACCCACCCACACCCACACCCACACCCACACCCCACACCCACACCCACACCCACACCGACACCCACACCAACACGCACGAACGTACACTATACATGTACAACTATATATGTATATATATATATATATATATATATATATATATATATACATATAGTCAGATTTAATTGATACTAAAAGGAAAACGTAACAGTCAATGTTCTCGCAGTACCAACTTTCTAACTACCCAGCATATGACATCTGTATTATGATATGTGGTACCATGAGGTATATATTTATATTACTGCATACTGAACATACCTCTGGCACTTTAACGTGCATTTGTATGAACATATAGATCATTCTAAGACATACTGACCAGGAACGTGTGCTCATAGATCATGCCACGCATATCGCTACTGTGGCACATGAACTGGCCCGAGTCTTCCTCCCGGGTGGGATTTATCTGAGGGCAGACAACAACAGCAGAATGTCAGGCGAGCCGGAGGTCAGGGTCGCAGACGCTGCCAATGGTCACCAACACCACAAATAACCAACAGTGAACAACATATTTACATGAGCATTGATTTATATATATATATATATATATATATATATATATATATATATATATATATATATATATATAGTAAATGCTCTCGCAGTACCAACTTTCTAACTTTCCCGCATATTATATATATATATATATATATATATATATATATATATATATATATATATACACATATGTATATGTAGACAAACAGACAGTGACAAAAAGAAACAAGCGTCATTACATTTACACCATGTGCTGCATACAGGTATTTTTGTACACAAAGAGCACCAACAACGACCATACACTAGATGGCATAATTTGTCCTGAAAGCTTGCAATGCAGTATATTTCATCGCGCTACATTTACTCAACTTGATTTGAATTGCACGAATCTCGAATGAGCCGTAATGAATCACGTCTTGTTTGACCAAAACTGCGCCGTTTTATGTATGGATGACCCTGCCCCAGCACTTCTTGGTAGGGCCTCTGTAAAAAACTACGCGACTAGATCCCGAGAAAGCACGGGCAGCCCATATGCTACGACGCGTCCTTATGGATGTCAATCCCGGTACTTATCCGATCCCGGGATCACAACAAAAGGCATTATAGCTGTACTGCATTTACAGATATGCAAAACCTATGCCAATTGTAGGTAAATGAAATAAAGTCGCCACCATGAGCACAGTGTATATAGGTACGTCGGCGTACGTTCTAGGCGTGACTGTTGGCATATCGATCATCACACTGATTTTGTTATACACCCCAAAATTATCACGTAACAGTAACATTCAGCAACACGTAACAAGTGACAATCTGGACTTTGATTCGGCGGGGGCTGCACCGATTTCATTTGGACACTGGGTTACTATAAATACATAGCAATGACTTATTTTGGGCATCTGCTGTTTCCAATCGTGTTAACATCGGCACTGAATGTGCGGTGCCAGAATTATAAGGCACATTTGGCACGTGAAACGACAAGGACAACGTCGGAAAGTTTGGCATAACTGCGGATTAATCTATTGCACATTCTTTTAAAAGCAACTGCTAAAATGTTATTCCAGGCCACGTAGCCTTGAAGTTATTTATGATAGCATGAAGTCCAATTTTGCACCAAATACTTTTTTCTGTATACTCACAGGAAGTGGTATCTTCTGGCGCGCAATCAACACAGGGTGATAGACTATAGGTGCACAGATGCATTTGCATAGGCCAATGAGCCGTAAATTGTCAGCTATGGTTAAAAACTTATGGCGCCTTGTCTGACCTGAAACATATCTTCAGCCACTTTGTTGCCCTGATTTTAACTCAGAACATAATTTTATATTCTTATCATTTAAAAAGCGGCGCACATGCTCAAGAAGCGTTATTTTTCACTTAATGTTCTTTGGTATAGATTGACTAGAACTGGAGCCACCAATGGACCTCAAGAGGGCAAGCAGGGCTTCGTCTTGTATTTCATTTAAGCCATCTCTCTGCCTCCTAAGCAATTCTTGATTCTTACACTTCACCCAAAAGGGTAAAACTTAAGACTCTTAAATTCGCGGGTCTTAATTATATTCGTGCGTATATGGTGATGACGATCGATCCTCAGTTGCGGCATGTACGCCATCCGACTCCTCTCAAACAGCCTGGGGGCGTGATGGCCGGATGATTAGCGCGTCGGACTCTCACATTGGGAGCCTGGGTTCGAATCCCGTTCTGCCCCTGAGGCCCCTGAGGGCTAAAATGGCCATTGCAGTCGCTGGTGCTCCATAAAAGGGACATGACGACGTGCATCGCGTTCTTTAACACGCGCTCGGGTGGGGGGTCAGATTGACTCCCCCACCCGAGTGGTTGTTCCAGAATGGCTTCTGAACGGCGCGGCAGGGCCGCGCCAAATTTTGCATAACTGTAAATAATTGAATAGCGGATCGTTTGGCATCAAAAGCGCAGATGTACCTCGTAAGGTTGCTGACCTATGGAGGGTAAAAGTCAGGCCATGGTTTCAACGAAGGCAATTTCGACGGAATCCTTTAATCTGATCCAACAACGGAATGTTAGACGAAGCCATACATATCTGAGATGCTTTCTTAGGCAACATAACAGTTGTCTGATCAAATTAAATTGACTTAATGTCAGGTATGAAGGTCACACCAAGGTCAAAAACAACCTGTTATATTACCCCAGAGCTTGCTGTATGGGATAGTTTCTGGTGCGCATTTATAATTTATTGATAGCAGGAACCGCATTATACATCTTCTATGGACTTCTTAGAGATCTTAATAGGTCATTAACATAAAATGACCTAGGTCAACACTTTGTTTTATGAACATACTGCCTAGCATAATCTTTGTGTCTTCGTCAAACGCAAAACTCAAAGCAATCTTGTATAATTTTGGTTACCTTGACCTTCAAAAGGTCAAACCAGGTCACTGACCTTAAATGAGAGTGTGACCTTTTGCTTTGAAACAGCTATCTAAGTTTTGGGAGCACTTTGGAGACCAACCTGGAACTTGACCTTGTTTGACCTTTTTTAACCCAAAGGTCATGACCTAGGAACTTGAAACTTTGACCGAAGTATGCTCACGTGTAGGTCAACACATTCTGTAAATTTGGTGTCTTTAGCTTCCTCAGTTCCCGAGATCTCAAGGGGTCAAATTGACCCCCACCCGAGCGAAGGGTATCTAGCCGGCCACCCGGGCGCGTGTTAAAAAAACAATCCTGGACAGCTACACCAAGCAAATACATCATTTTACAAGAAGAAGTGTTTGTCTTTGTGCCCAGCCCCTTTATGATATATATATATATATATATATATATATATATATATATATATATATATCGCTTTCTATCCAGTGGAGAGCGTTATGCACGAAATGTCCTTCATGTTCAAGTAGTGAGATATCTCAAGATGTTTAGTGGAGAATCGCTGCTAATTTAGTAAAAGTTCTTTAGCAGACCGCGCACTAACCAACTCTCCGATCCCAGGGTCGAAAACGCATGGATCGTGGAATTGGGACTGATGTAAATCGCGAGAGTCCCACCCTAGGATTGACATCCTTACTTACTTATGCTAAGCATGCATAAATATGTGAGGGCGATGAAGACTAGCATAGTCTCTCACTCAAGGCGGGCGTTTATGCCCCCTAAGCACCTGAACATTGTGGAACCCTTTCGTCTGATTAAGGTGCTCGTGTTACCTGAGCCGACAGATGGACGTCAGAAAGCCAGAGTGGGACGGTGCCCCTCAGCCCAAGCGAAAGCATGACTGTAAGCCCACGCGGAGGGGCACCCTAAAATTGTGTGTCGTACACTTAAGACGAACTGTTTTCACATTGATCCTATAGTCAAGTTGTCATCCTGATTCCTCCTATACAAGAGGCACAGCAATGTCAACTACCGCAAACTTTTTTACCACTGGGGTCGGATTCGCATTTACAACACCACAATCTATTGACGTTGTGATGAAATGTCTATTGTCCGTGTTGCGGTAAGTGATACCCGTTCAGGGCATTAGCATTAATATAACACAAGTGAAAGGTATACCCCAGTCTGACCTTGGAACAATACGAACGGGGCCCCTCGAGCAGGGGCCTCATAATGGAATGGAGCAAGCGCAATTGTGCATGTATAACATGAATTTAAGCGTAAAAGTTGTGACGGAAGGAATTCCGAGACACCCAAGAATACACGTAGAGGACGTATAGATCTCACTAGTGACCAATGGCAGTGTTGCCGCATCCGGGGAGGGGGCAGACGCGGGGGTGGGGATTTGACGCGGGGGAGGGGACAGAGGGGCACACCGCCCTCTCCATCCTGTCTTTTGAGGTGGCAGAAAAATGACATTTTCGCTCCTTCTCCCCTTCTCCAATATTTCGGGCATTCCAGAACGCGCCCTGAGAAAGGTGGAAGCAATTCCCTCACCGTGTTACCAAGGGGAGAAAAGAGGGCCCATCTTATGACTGGAAAAGAGCCATCTCAGACTGGAGAGGACCCAGTGTCAGGCAGGAAAACGCCTATGCCAGCTTCAGGCAAGGAAAGGGCCCATTTCTGATCGGGAAACGCTGAAAAACTCCGGTCACGGCCTTGCCTGGTGTCGATTTAGCAAATGTTTGAATGAACAATTAAAAAGCGTAGCACCGGCAGATTTTTCATGGCAGCCATTTTATGTTTGCTTGGTTTATGTTATGGATTTTAGCAGCATCCTTTGGAAGCTCTAACTATTTTGTCACAGTGCAAGAGGATAAAACGGAAAACAACTGAAGAAAATAGTCCTTCAAACTAAAGCAAACCAAATTCAGTGGACTGTTTTTAAGCAGTGATGGTATTGGCAGTGTGGCCCACCACCAACTTCGGTGCCTCCCTCCCCCTCCCCCTCGTTCAGACAGGATGTGTATACGCACACACAAGCACATCGTTCCAAATTTGTTTTGTTTCAACGTTATCCTTGTACGCTACTAATTTTGCCGGGGTGGGGCCCACCGCCTGTCAGAGGGGCCCAAGACGTTTGAGGGACCCTTAAAAAGTTGCTTGACCCCCATCCAAACTTCGATCTGCTGTCACTGCCGTGAGGACGTACTACCCTCGCTCCCTCCCTCTCTCCATCCGTCCACAATCGCGATTACCCCACACTGCGAGACGAAGCTCCCCTCCCCTTCCCCACCACCGCCACCACACACCGTGAGGACGTAGGCCCCGTTCTCAGAACGGATCTGGTACCGGTTGTCGCTGACGATCAGCTGCGCGTCCCGAGCAAACTCCATCTTGCCGTCGCTCTCTGCGGCGGAGGGTACGTGTCAGAGCGACAGGCAGACTGGGACCACGTCAGCTCCCTCTTCCCGCCATTATGTCTGCTAAGAGGGACGGGTAGTTGAGGTAGCATTGAGTTGGCTCAGTGGTACTGACACCCACCTACTTCTCTTCTTACATTACACAATGCAGTAAAAGAAGGGAAAGTCCGAGGACGATTTTCACTTTTTGTTTGATCACTCTATCATGCTGTCGTTGGGGCCGAGGACCAGTTCTACGTGGCTGTCACCTCTGCAAGACGAGGGATGGACGCGGGGTCGGGGAGGATTTCTAATGGATGTCGGCGTGCAGAGTCAATGTGGAAAGTGGATTGCATAACAGGACAGACCAAAACTGGGCAGCCCACGAGCCAGTTCGCTCTTTCAACCGCACGATATGTAGTTACGTGAGGGCGTAGGGTGTATTCGACCTCGCCGGCGCCGCCGCAAACCGAGGCTAGAAGCGATTGTCACACCTAGCCGGAGAACCAGACCACGTCTCACAGCGGCGACGGCAGTGCATCGCCACACATCTGGAGGTGCGGCGGCCGAGAGGCGTCCTCTTCGCGTGCGGCGGTGCGTGCCGCGCGGCGCGGTGTGCGGTACGGGGTAGTGACGGGTGACTGGACCAACGGCGGGAGAAAGCGGCAGCGTCGCCAGCCAACACGAGACACACTTTCTCATAGGGTGCTGTCGTTTTGCTGGCGGGATGGACCGCGGTGGCACTAGCCGTCATCGCCAGCCATGAAAGGTGTTCTGTTATGGTGCGGATGCAGTCCAATGCTGTTTGAATTCTTTGGAGCTTTGAATTCATGCAGTCGTATAACATGCATGGATTCAAAGCTTTGTGGACCGACTGGAGGATTGCTGTAACCACTTGCAAGGGGCAAGGCGTCCGCTATTGTGGCTCTGTTCTTCCACAGCGCTTACAACGCGCGGACACCGATACACGAGTGATGCAAAGTATGTCATGACTAAACGACAGATGTCATTCAAGCATTGTCATGTCATGTCATGTTGTGATGTCATAAGCGTTCAAATAATACAGAACATGCGTTTTCCCATGTTCGTAGAAAACCACAGGGTGAATAACTTCACACGCTTTATGCATTTATCTGAATCAATGTCTTGACCACACGCCATCCGGCTCTCTACTGGTCGCTTCCCCTCCCCGTGACTCAGGACGTCATGTGACCTGCATATGAGCGGCCCGGCCCGGCAGCCCGGCAAGGCGAGCTACCAGGTGCTGGCTGGCACTGACGGCCCGTGGCTCTGCTGACGTCACTGGTGCTGGGGCGCCCGTAGGATCAGCAGCGTCATCTAAAGCGGCGTGGCAGCACAGAGTTTCCATAACCGGTTTTGGCCGGTTTTAAATGGTCCGGTTGAGTACGGGGACTGTGAGACACGAGAGGGCGCACCAAACCAGCCGGGCTGGACTCAGAACGGCGAGAAACTTGTTACATCCAGCCCTATGGTCCGTTACGGTGAGGAAAATCAGAGCGACGGAGTTTTGGGGAAGGCACCTCGACGCGATGCACTTTTTCTCATACAACCAGTGGAACCGGTGCCATGCTGGGGCATAGCAGCCTTACCAAGAAAGGGTAGCGATGACTGACTGTCGTCCCGTTACCTGGACAGCCGACCAGCCGGCGGCAGTCACAGCTCCCACTGCCGCGCTCTCCGGAGACTGTTGCCCCAGCTCGCCTGCGTACGGGTCAGCGTGGCCGCCCCTACTGCCGCGCTCTCCAAGGACTGTTGCCACAGCTCGGCTGCGTACGGGTCAGCGTGGCCGCCCCTATTGCCGCGCTCTCCGGGGACTGTTACCACAGCTCGGCTGCGTACGGGTCAGCGCGGCGGAGACTGCTGCCACAGCTCGGCTGCGTACGGGTCAGCGCGGCCGTTCCCGTTCGCTGGAGTTCGTCCTTCGGCAATGCTCATTGTCCATTTTTCTCATGGCGAATTCTGCTTGCCATTTCCTCATTGCCCATTTGATCACTCGCTCCCATATGAGCCATTGTAAATGCAATCAACAAGTGATACATATGAACCGCCAGTCTGATGAAATTCGTTTGATGACCTCGTCTATAGTAAAGCAAAGAGCACAACTGCATAGTAACTACTTGACGGCCGATGGAAAACACTATCTATTCCTCAGCCGCCAAACGCAAAAGCAACGTGCTGGGGCAGCAATGAGTTTACTATTTGAGGAGGGTTCACACATATTCCAGGCGGCTGCATGACCGCAGCAGGAGAACTTACGACGGCACCCGGACGCCGAGAAACTGCATAAGCTATCTCAGCTGCTTAATCGGGCGCTCCAGGATAAGGTGCCACTCTTTGTCAGGTGCTGGCCGCTGCATTTGGATGGCCGTGGCAACATCGCAGCTGCTTTGCATGCGAACGTGTCCCGCTGGACCTTGAGTCACATCGGTCACTAGGGTCGCGAGGCAGCCAGCGGCGGTCCTCCCTCCCCATGCATGTGCCAGCCTAGCGACAATCCATGCACGGGCTACGTGACCCTCCCATTGTCGGTCGTGAGGCAGCGCGGGCACAGGTCACGTGACTATCCGAGAACAGGCCGTGCGACCAATGAGCAGCCTGCCAACCGATCCAGTGACGCCGAAGGCACGCCGCCTGAGCCGCCCGCCGTGCCGTGCGTGTGCACCGCTGCACGGGGATCAGCGCACCGATGCATGGCGCCGTGCATTGTGCACCGGCACCCGCCGGGCGTGGCGTGCCGCTGGACGGCCGTGCGACGCCGCTAGCGTGACCTTCCGTCGGAATTGGTCACGGCCGGCTGCTCTGCCAACTGACGACCCTCATGCACGCACTCACGAACGCACGCACGCACGCACTTACGAGTGCGCATACGCACGAAGGCGAGTATATACACACCTACGCACGCACGTAGGGACGCGCACACACACACACACACACACACACACACACACACACACACACACACACACACACACACACACACACACACACACACACACACACACACACACACACACACACACACACACACACACACACACACACACACACACACACACACACACACACACACACACACACACACACACACACACACACACACACACACACACGCACGCACGCACGCACGCACGCACGCACACACGCACGCACGCACGCACGCACGCACGCACGCACGCACGCACGCACGCACACACACACACACGTAAGCACATACATGCGCACGCATGTTCGGACGCACGCACGCACGCACGTACACATGCACGTACTTACGCGTGGACGTACGCACGGACGGACGCACGGACGCACGGACGCACGGACGCACGGACGCACGGACATACGCATACACCCCCTCACACGCACGCGCACACATTGTTGTGCGGCTGAATGAGTGAGCCGCCACGCGCTCCAGCCAGCCGCCGCGCGACAATACAAGTGCGGGCGTGAACGTGTGCTCATGCGTCGCGCACGCACTCGCACGCGCAGGCCAACGCCATCCATACACCCGGTCAAATGAGGGACATCAGAAGGAATGACGCGGATGCTGGCGAGGTCACCAGGTCTGAGGCACTTGTTTGCTGTCATGTCGGCCGCCGATCACCGACCTTGTTTGTACCATAGGACGGTGCCGCCCGGGTGGAAGTTGCACTGCATGGAGACGGTGCCTCCGGGCATCTGGCTGACCACGGACGTGCCGCTGCTGGTGTTGTCGCTCCCCGAGGACTGACCTGGACCGTAATGATCACCATCAGTGGGGCATTGCTTCAAAACAGCACACAACATGTAGCGGTCATAGTCGGCTGGCTACTGTTCCAAAATACGCATCGATGACGCGTCATTAGCGCCCTGCACCAGCCATCATTGCGCTGGACTGCACACACGGGCAGCCCTGCCAGTGCGGTCCCCTCCTTTCCCCAGTCGAGCTTGACCCAGACGGAGTGGACCCGTGTAACGGTACGAGACCGTGCAGCTGCGCCCAGTCACCAGTGCTGACAGGGCGGCCGCCCGGTCGGTGCCACAGGTGGTCGACCACTAAACGTGACGTCACTCACCAGGCGCCGGGCGGTACGGACCGGACAGCCAGCTGAATAGGCGGAGGTCGGCATAGGTCATGGCCCGGGCAACGAGATGAATCAGGCGATTTCAGCGGGCTGGGCAAGGAGTTCAATCAGGGTACAGAGCTCAATCAGGGCAGGGAGCTCGATCAGGGTAGGGAGCTCAATCAGGGCAGGGAGCTTAATCACGGGAGTTCAGCGGCCGGGCAAGGAGCTTAATCAGGGTAGTACAGCGGCCGGGCAGAGAGCTTAAACAGGGGAGTTCAGCGGACAGGAAGGGAGCTCAATCGGGGGAGTTCAACGGCCAGGAAGCGAGCTCAATCAGGGGGTGCAGTGGCCGGGCAGGGAGCTTAACCAGGGAAGGTCAGCAGCCAGGCGGGGAGCTCAATCAGGGAACGTCAGTAATGGCCAGATGAGATCAGCGGGCCGGGCGGAGACCTGCATGAGGTAACAGCTGATGTTAGTAGGCATAACGGAAAACTGAATCAGTTGGGGTCAGCTTGGGCTGGCGAGAACGGAATAAGCCAAGCTCAGTGAACCCTACGCTGAGGTCAGTGGACTTGGCGGGGAACTGAATCAGCTGATGTCGGCCAGCCTCAGAGGCAGGATAGCTATAAACAAAACCGTGCCCTACTTGGAAGTGGGGAAGCTGACCAAAACATTGTATTGTCAATCACTGCGTGTCACGCAACCAGATCGGTGACGTCAGACCGCATGTCCGGAGACCAGACCGGTGACGTCAGACCGCATGTCAGGAGACCAGACCGGTGACGTCAGACCGCATGTCCGGAGACGCCCGTCTGCCTGCTGCGGCGGAAGGCCGTATAATGCGAAGGCGGATTCCAGCCAGAGAAGCGCATTTGTGGCCGCGATACATGAATCAGCGGCGGTTCCGGGGAGCGACTCCCACACTCCCGCCCCCGCCTCAGGTGCATCCGCCACACCGCAGACTAGCAGCCGTTCAAAACGACCCTGTGAGCCGTCTGCACTCGAGAACTTGGTGCGACACACGCAGAGGTGCGTGTGTATCTTCAGTACGAGTGTGTGCTCATGCGATTTCGCGCGCGTGCCTGGGGCGTAGATGTCACGTTGCCCCCGTGGCTCTGCGCACGTGTGTGCGTATGTGCGCGGATGCGTGTATGCGTTGGTGACAATCGCCTCCATAGCGCCCTATCACGGCCCTGTGACGACCTTGAGCGGCAAGTCTGCGCTGGCAACACTCCAAGAACGTGCTGTAATGAGATGATCATCCTCGCTCAGCACATGGCCTTTAAACCAAATGCGAGATGTGGCTTCGTGCACAACGTGCGAGTTGAGCCAATAGAAAACAGTCCTTCAACAAACGAGGGTGCTGCTTGAACCTGCATTTTCATAGCTTATTCCCTTTCGGCAATGTAAGGGACAACATATCACGTTTCCGCGGTTGTCCTTGTGGTAAACAGATGCGTCACCTATTCATCGCCACGGCACCACAGACGACGGGTTCAATGACATCCACACGCATGCCACGCTTCGGCAAAACTGACGACCGGCGGTATGTTAGTATGTATGTACATCATCTGCCGCACTGCGCATACAGTGAACGTAAGTATGTCGGTATCAACAACGCTATCGATGATATGGTAATGGCTTTAGCGCCCCTCTTCTGCTTTGCATAGCTCCAGCGTGGTTTGGCGCGACGCTGCTGTGCGGTTCGGAACACAACAACGCTGCAGTGGGGCCCATAGCACCTCAACAACGGTGCAGTGGGGCCCACAACACCTCAACAACGCTGCAGTGAGGCCCGCAACACCTCAACAACGCTGCAGTGAGGCCCGTAACACTTCAACAACGCTGCAGTGAGGCCCGTGACACCTCAACAATGCTGCAGTGAGGCTCGGAACACCTCAACAACGCTACAGTGCGGTCCGGAACACCTCAGCAACGCTGCAGTGGGGCCCATAATACCTCAACAACGCTACAATGAAGTTCGGAACACCTCAGCACGTCATCTGACTTTCACTCCCCCCCCCCCCCCCCTCCTCCAGGTCCCAGGTGACACGACGGTAGCCAACCGCAATGGAAAATTATGGAAGACAGCAAAGCAATGGAGCCTCCTGTATGCTGCCTTTAAAGGCTATGTATGCTGAATGCTACTGCTATGGTAAATTCCGTGGAAGACAAAATCCGGCAGGTCGGGCCGTACTCGTCATTTGTGGACTGGCTTTCAAGGCCATTACAGAGCCAAAGTGGGACAACGCCGAATTAGCGATGTAGAAATTTAGGGTCCATCCATAAATTACGCTGCGCACGGAGGGGAGGATCTTTTGACGCAGAGTACCAAAAGCGTAACAAGGTGAGGTGCGGGCAGCATAACGCTACGCTCAGGTGTGACTGCAAATCGTTCTGAAAGCTCAAACAGGTTTAAAAGCGTAGCTAAGGGCTATCGTCAAGCGTAAGCAGCGAGGAACCGGGCAGGGAGGGCGGGGAGTTCAATAGGGAACAGGGAATAGGGGGTTGAACATGGTCACAAGAGCGGGTGACGGATAACACCATGGCAAATCATGGGTTTTGCTAATGAACTAGTCCATGCACGAGATAATATTAAATGAGGGTTTGGAGTGCCAGGTCAATTCTGCCCAGAATCAATATAAAGCCAAGCTTGCTATGCTGCACTTCTGTAGGTGAGAAGGAAGAACTCATCACAGTTGGGGCGTAAAACAACTTTTAAGGCGTTTCATACCACGGAGTGGCATCCGGCTAATGGTGAATTCTCGAGAAAGAACGGAAAATATCAGGTTTTGCTGAGGTTCAGAGCCCTTAACCTTTCGCCCGTCCCCTCTGGCTTCTGTGCCCTTGCTTGCCACGTACCACCATGCACATATTTAAAGTGTACGCAAAAAGAAGGATACTTGAGATGCCAACTCAAACCACAGCACACGACTTGACAACTGACGACCATGACGACTCAAATGATTTCAGCAAAGCGATGATTGTGCCCATTGTACAATGTCATGCTGAGGAAAGTTCCTAACTGGCTTTGATGCCCTTCATATCACGCGATGACTGCTTCACATCCTGACCGTAGCAACTTTCGGGTCAAGGAAGGACGAACCAGGGACGTTTGCCAATCATGGTGGCAAACAACCATCCGCCCAGCACCTCCATTTTCGGTGGCGTACGCCACACAGGAGGGGAACACAGCCGGTAGGGGGATAATCGCCGGTCGCTGCGGCGGCGCGGCCTACTGCGCGTGCCGCAACCCGGCCAGGGTCACGGCTGCGGAGACCACGCCGCGGACCAAGGCCAAGGGGCCCCGCCGCGACACTCACCATCAGAGACTCCGGCCAGCGCGCCCAGCGCGGCCACCAGCGTGCAGAGGAACGTCGTCATGATCCCGATGGGGTCCTCCGGCCCGGCACCGCCGACCTCCCGTCACTGCCGCCCACCCTCTGTCCGCTGGCGTAGCCGCCGCCGCCCTCCGCCCGCCGACGCCGACCGCCCGTGACGTCAGGCCGACACCTGGCGGCCGGTGGAGCAACTCGCGGCCGGCTGTCCCGCCGCCGGCCTCGGCAGGTGAAAACCAGAACTGGCGCTGGGTGTTGGCGCCGCGCTGCGTCACTGTTGCACGCAGTGGGGGAGGGGAGGGGGAGGGACCTCTGGCCGCCGACATGCGCGGTCCTCAGTGCTGAGAGAGAGGCCGGCGAATGTGTTGCGCATGCCTGCCAGGTGATGAGCAAGGCTTCTAGTGCACGGGTAGGCCGGATGTGCCGCACTGCACCACTGCGGAATAACACAGCTCCAAAAAAGACGCTGCAGCTGCAAGGTCGTTCTTGATTAACCAAACCAGCTGATGATAACGAACGGGATTCACGTTAGGATCATATAGCGGCGACAGCAGCACAACTCACACGGAAACACAGCCAGAACGGTCGTTGAAAAACGCGACGGACTGTTGACTGGAGATAATAGTACCCATTTCCGGCAGATTTGTTAGCCAACCGCGAGGCCTGGCTGCATGATGGAGGCAGGACAGCCCGGGCTTTGACGAACGGCATGCTTGGCTTTGCTAGCGAGTTATTCGGTCTCAGGCCTGAATCACCTATCCTTTTCGCGCTGCATCATCGTTTCTCGCATTCCTGCACACGCCGCCAAACCGGGGTGCTTCTGCGGCAGTCATCCGCTGGAGATTAAGTGCTCTGAGCTGCCCGGACCCCAGTCCGGCCGGAGCACCCGCTGCACCCGTAAAAAAAACAAAAAAAAAACAGCTCCCAGTCCGATCCGAGGACACTCCGAGCCGGGTTACACTACGGCGCCCAGTCCAACCCGTGCGCCCGGTGAGCGCGCCTGCAGTACGACATGCTTACTGTTGCACTAAGGGTACGGGCCAACAGTTAAAGCAGAGTGCCTACAAAATTTACTTTCTCTGTAATTTTGCAGCTGTAGAATAATCTGCACCGAACCCAGGTATTCTCACACGCTTTCACTGCACCACACGAGCTCCGAATTCCCAGCAATACACGGTGAAATAGATCGTGACTTGAGTGACGACGGCGACCATACGCGCCGTCAAATGAAAAAAGGGACCCGGAAAACTGGACAGGAAGTGACGGGCGTGGCGGTTAGGTGAGGCGGGCGTCGAAATCCACATTGATGATTTGAAAGAAGATCGTCTCGTTCCAATATCCATGAAATTCAATGATAGAGTCCTTTTAACGCTGTCAACGCTTTGTAGTAGCATTACGCCTTTTCCCTGCAGTGCCGACCGCTGTCGTCATGACAACCGCGGTGCGCACCACTACTGATGCGAATAAAAGAGCGCTTGTGATTGGCCTAGCGGGTGGCAAGGGTCTGTTACGGAAAAACGCACTGGTTGAAGTTTGAGCCTGTGTGTCACTATGGAACATATCATGCCCCCACTCTCAAAGTTAAAGTGCGCCCAAAAACAACCACTGCTGTAAACGCCATAGGGGAGGAATAAAATATGTTGCAAAATGTATCATTGCATTCGCGGGAAATAGCTTCATGCTCACATATATTTTGGTACAAAAAGGGCTTTTCAAGTTTTCGTAGCATCTAGCACGAAAAAACATCTTAACCCATGAGTGCGTTGCAAACATGGCAGAAAACTGGGGATGCAAAAAATCTCCGATTTGCCGGATATGATCGGTGGTAAAAAGTGACACTTTTGCGAGCCAATTGGTGGCAAAATTGTGAGAGTGGAAACGAATTACAACAAACCAGACCATATTACCACAAACCATCCCAGCTAGACCAAGATTAAAGCTTAGTATTGGTCTGTAGTCGCTAACGCTTGCATCGTGAGCATGTTTAGAGTATGTGTCGAAACGCTTACGCTTCGCTGTGTGAGCAAGTTGAGCCAGACGATTTCGCCAACTCGGTTAGTTTAATCAGGATAAATTTTAGCAGGTGGCAGAAATGCACTATACGCTATACTATTTTAGTGCTGACGTAACAGATCAGCGGTGGCACGGTGCTTCTCCAATGCCCTTAAGATCAGCGCTTTTCACAGGTTTTATCAGCCAGGGCTCAATTCATATACATAACGGTATAAAATGCTAAATGACTAGGCCAAGACCGTAGTAAAAGCCTTATTCCTCGGAGAAAAACCAGGAGAATGGAGATATAGTTAGGTTGATAATTCGGCAACATGCCTTTATCGAAACAACAGCAGAAGTGAGTTGAAATTGGCTGCCGATGATCCTACTCGATTTTTTCGTTTCGTTGTTTTTTTAAGCAGCAAGCCACAGTTTTGACAGGACACCAACATTCAGGGGATTAAACAAAGAGCGATTGCCAGCCATTACCACGAATACAGTGCCTATCTAAGAATTAGAATATGCGAGCATACGTATTCTAATTCTTAGATAGGCACTGCATTTTGAATTCACAATTCTTAGATAGGCAATCTTGACCTTCACTTCTGCTATTGTTCCCGTAAAGGCATATTACCGAAATATCAACCCAACTACATCTCAATTCCCCTGGTTTTTCCCCGAGGAATAATGCTACTTACTGCTGTCTTATGTATATGAAAAATGCTTCTCACCAATGCACTGAACAACTTATGCAAATGACTAGGCTTATTACTGGTCGTAAGAATCGTGGCTGGCCACAGCATCTCGCGGCAAACGTGATCAGTTTGCTACGCGGCTTTTTAAAGCGTCGTGGCATTTGAGACAGATGGGCTCGAATGCTCGCCACGCTATAATGAATTGGGTCCCGTGCAAGGCCGTGGGCTGCCATTGGTTGTGTTCATGTCACGAGGAGCTGGCTGGCTTGAAAAACGTAGCCAATCGTCAGCTTTAAGGCGCGGTGCAGCTTTTCTAAAAATCTTCCATGGATAACGTCCTTGGAAACAGCGTTAAAAGCACTACCGATCTAGGCCTGCTGTTTGTGGTACCTAGACTTGTTGCTTCAGAGGCCAACGGAGGAAGTTGGAGCGACACGTGTCGAGGATTAATCCGGGGCTTTCTGCTGCTAAGAAGGAAAGCGGCTTTGAGGTAAGATGCCGAGCATCCCCGGTGCAGGCCTCACATTGCCCGTCGCACCTCAGATTTGGCGTACTGACCGGTGGACAGGCCTAAGATAAAACGTTTTTAATTGTCGTCATACCGTATATAGAGCTAAATTAAGCTGCTAGACGTATCGAAATATGTCGTTTGCATCTGTTGATACCAGCATCACATTTCGCACTAATTAATTGGCATCATGTCAGGGGCGGCGTATGCGACTTCGCGATGAGGGGGCGAAGACTTTATGGTGGGCCTCATAAACAGACGGGGACCCCATATTTCAGTACAGACGCGCGGTCAAAGCCTTAGCAAGGGGGAGGGGGGGGGGGCACAGGGTTGACAAAGAGCCCCTTGGACAAGCCTGTCAATAAAGGCATGTTTTTCATATTTTTCATTTTTACCTTCTATTCTATGTGCGTGTGCACGTTCCCAGCATGTGCCCTTCCCTTCCTCCCTCTGACTGCGCTGCTGTGTCAGAAGCAGAAGCAGTAGCTGATTCTAGAGCCTTTAGATACCACCTAATCATCAAAAATTGGTAACAGAAAAAAACTCTGGCTATATTACCGATGAGTTCTACAGGTGGGTGAGCAAGCATGGATTCTCTCCCAATTAATGATGGCTAATTTTGGGCTTAAGATGGGGCCCATCCCATCCCCATTCTGGGCCTAAGACGGGATCATCCCCTCTCAGGTATCTGTAGGCCTGGGGAGGAATGTGTTCAGATCTAAGAGCAAAAGATGATCTTTTCCGGACCTGACCTGTGTATTTCTCAACATGGCAAAACGAGACTTCTCAGAAATAACGTGGGTCATCTCTGAGATTTACCAGACGTGGGCCCATCCCGGGTCTAAAAGATCAGCGGTGCTTTTTTGGCACATGGGATGCTTACTTTATCAGCCTAAAATGGATGGCCCCCTGACTAATAACGGCCCGTTTGAGTCTACTATGGCCCTATCCAGACCTAAGAGGGTCTTTTCTAAACTTATCATGAGCCTCTTCCTAGCCGAAAACGGGCCCTTTCTGAGTTTGCGATGGTCCTTTTCTGATTGGAAGATGGAGCATCTCCAGGCCTAAACTTACATGGGCGCTTCTTATCTGCAAATGTGGTCTTTTCAGACCGGAAAAGGGCCAGTCATAAGTCGAAGACGGGGCGCAGGCCGGTGGGGGGGGGGGGGGCTCATCGGTATCGACGATCAAGGGTCCAGCCAGGGGGCCCGAAGACTTGGCCAGAGGCTGTATCAAGGGATCCCAGCCCGCAAATGTCCGTCGGAGGGCCTCTTGCGCCGATCAGGCCCCTGGGGGCAATGAGGGCCCGCCAGTCGATCTGCAACCACGGATTTCGAGCAGTCTGCCCCGTGGCGGCCTAAGGCCATTTCCAAAGCCGGGACAATGCTGGGGACCGCGCCTGCCAGTCAGAGGACCCTTTGCATCGGTCAGGGCCCCTAAAGCAATGGGGGATCGCTGTGTTGGTCAGGGGGGGGGGGGTACGGCTAACAGGGGACCCTATGTTGGCAAGGGCCCCGAGTCGGTAATGGTTCCGTTTTCTGGATAGGGACAGGAACGTAACCCCAAATGTCAGGGAGCCTTTTAAGTCGACCGGGCCTGCTGATAATGAAAGAAGATAGGATAAATGACAATAAAAGCGTTCAAAATGAGAGGGTGAAAGGACCCTGCCTCGGCCATGGACCAAAGAACGAACGTGGCCCCCGACCTCCACCCCACTTTGGTCAGGAGCCCGATACACAGCACTGGAGTCATCTGACAGTTATTGGATCTCTGTGTCCGTAAGCGATCCTTTGGCGTCAATGAGGGCCCCCTGCGTCGACCCGGGATCAAGTGCTCCGGTCTGAGGGCCTTCCGCGCCAGGTAGGTGACCGATGCATGATGCATCCCTCCACAGCGCTCCTGATCGACCAGGGGGCCCC